ACCTGTCACAGGTTTGACATCTATATAGTAGGTATATAAAAACACGCGCGTATTCGAATGGAACGTTGTGTCAAAATTTCTAAGCAATTGGTGAAGAACTTTTGAAGATAGCGATTTTGAACAAAACGAACATTTACATTTTTATTTATATAGATTTATATGTACAAGAGTTCTTACATTCGTGTATCAGCCACCAGCATGCATAGCGTTCCAGGCAAGGCCTTAATCCTAATATTCCCTGGAATACGACCCGCCAAATCATTTAACAACCAGGTACCCATTTTACTGTTGGGTAAACAGAGGCTACAGTTAAGGATTGGCGCCCAGTAAATTCTCCCCGGCCAGGATTAGATGATTATCAGTTCTTGGCGAGCTTGTGGAAACAATCACTCGACATCAATGTGCTGTGAGGGTCAATAATTAATTGAAGTCATGACGGTAGCTAGAGAAATCGTTCTTGTTAAATATTTGTGTGTTTTGTATATATAAAGAAAACATGGAAAATATATATGCTCTATCTTGATATTTAAAAACCTCTTGGTAAACTTTCAAAACGAAAAAAAAATCATGATATGGTTAGGTGTTTACGAATATTCCTTGAAAACTGATTTCTCGGAATGAAAATGGGTTCTGGACACAAAACTAATAGACCAAATATATATGCATGCTAATGGCCTGACACAAAACCACAGATAACGGTTTATGAAATAAAATCGTTGAAATTCAACATTAACGCTATACTTACGGAACACTCAACGCAGCTGACCAGCATTACCTTCAAACTATCTCTAATCATTCTAATAATTCAAACTAAATGAGGCAAGGGATAGGCCAATTTAAATGCCCGATGCTGGATAAAAGACTATGAGCTTATCATAGTAATTTAAGATAAAATAACCCGAGTGGCTAATATTTCCCAACCACGTAGTGTGTGGAGGAATTAGAGAAGCCAACGGATTATTAGGCTTCAAATATTCCTCATTGGCGTTGGAGGTTGAGAACGTCATCCTCATACTACGTATATAGTCAGTGTAACTTGTATTCTGGAATACTGTGTGCTGTTCTATTCACTATATTTACGGAAGTGTATTGAGCACCCTTCCTCTTGAGTGGCCACACGGTCAGAAAATGGTGTACTAAACACCTGACTACTTAAGAGTGGACGGTAGAGCGACGGTCTCGCTTCATGCAGGTCAGCGTTCAATGCCCGTTCGTCCAAGAGGATGGGCACCATTCCTTCCCTCTGTCCTGTCCCAAATTATCATCCTCATCCCTTCCTGGTGCTATATATAGTCGTAGGGGTTTAATGCTTTCTCACGGGAGACATCTCCCGTCACGCAGGGTGCAGTTCCACCTCCACAGATCTCCAGTATCAGCTCTTGATACTGGTAATGGCTCAAAAGGGCCACCACTTACGGGCTGTTCATGCCCGTGCCACCTTTTGGGTGGCTTAATCTTCATCAATCATCAATTTAATGCTTTCTCCTGATAATTATCTTACCTTAAAACACCGCAACCTAACACAAACCTACAAAACCTGACCCACGCATACAAAACGTGAATGTTGGTGAGCCGCTGACATCTATAGCACATCACATTTTGTCCTTTGGGGACTTTGACTTGGAAAATGCGGTTTAATATTGGAGAGACCGGGTTGGAGATCAAATATATAATAAATCCAGCCCACAGTGACGGGGATTCACTCAACCTTCAGAGGAGACCAAAATATCTAGTCGTTATCTTAACTCAGACAAATACTTAACTAGTGCACCGTGAAATATGAGGAGCGATAATAGCTTTGATGAGACCTGCCCAATCAGCGAGGGAAATAGACCAGCACCATTTACACAGCAACTTACGAAACCTCTACATCTTTCCTTAATGATGGCGGCTTTGTTTACATTTATTTAAGAGTTTATAAGCTTGCAAACGTCACAACACAAGGTTGTTATTGTTATAAACAACCTTGTGGTGCCTCGGAGTTCATACACTCTTTACTAAATGTAAACAAAGCCGCCATGATTAATGAAAGATGTACAGGTTTCGTTAAGCGGTTGGGTCAATGCTTGATGTCTCCTGACTCTGGCTTACAAATGTTATATTGCAATGCATGCCATTGTGACGTTCATCTATTTTAACAAAAGTACATCTATTGGTATAAATATCTATGGGGGCGTTGATCTGTTATAAAAAAAATATCCGCGAGGCGTTTGTCCGTTATAATAAATGTCCACGGAGAGTTCATATAATATAAATGGCCATGGGCGTTCATCTATAATAAATGCCCATGGAGAGTTCATATAATATAAATGACCATGGGCGTTCATCTATTACTGTAAATGCCCATGGGACGCTCATCTATAATAAATGCCCTCTCCCCTCCTTCGAAATGTTCTTCGAAAAGGACTGCAATGTTCTCATGGCGGGAGTTTGAAGGTAATGTAGGAGGGAGGCAGAACATGAGGCGAGTACAAACCTCCCGCCTAGACGGAGTACTCACCCATGACGGTGACGTTGGCTGCCGCCCAGATGGGTAAGGTGGTGGCGGTGGGCCCCACCTGGCACTGGTACTCGCCGTCCTCCTCCAGAGTCACCCCCCTGATCACCAGGTGGTGCTCGCCCTTGCTGGGGTCACCCTGGTACTGGTAGCGGGGGTAGCCTGGAACCCCTCGCTCGAACCCTGGGGGTAAGAGAACGGTAGAGGGTTAGTGTATGGGGAAGATGGGGAAGGAGGGGGCGAAGGAGATGTTGTGAGTACAAAAGGGGGAAGGTAGTGGTTGAGGGAGAGGTGGAGAATCATCCGCTATTATGTAATATGATAACATAATACTTTATATCAAGAGATGACTGGGGACAGTGCAACCACGTGGTTCCTCAAGATGAGCACCCACGTGGTCCCTGGGTAAAAACACAGCCAGACACTAGGACGTCTCCAACTGCAATTCAGCAAACATGACGTTATAGCAGGCGTCTGGGACAAAATCATAAGCCACATTGTTTTGAAAATTATAATTTATATTTACTAACTTAAAATAATATCTTTCATATAGTGCTAATATATGTAGATAATTACTTCACATATAATAAGAATAGCGAAATTAAAAAATAGGGTTTTCGGGAGCCGGTAAGGGAGCGGACTCCACCTGTCACTGGCGCCGGCGCGTCGCTAGGCTCAGATGGAACCGGAGCATCGCCTGGTGTGGAGATAGCTTGTCTTTCACCACTTTTGGAGGCTAAAAAGTATATTATCTCCTTATGCCTCGTTATAGTTCAGTTAAAGGTCAACTTCTCTTATCGATTATCTTGTGATAATCGATAAGAGAAAGAACAGTGTAAATGAAGTTAATGAGGAGGAGACGCAGAGGCCGCCAGCTCCACCGGACATCATCATGTCAACACCAATCATAATACCTGTGTTCTTCACCACTAAACTTAACAAGTCTTTTGCTACAAGACTTAAGGACCTCGGACGCCCCTAACAATTCCACTACTAAGGGCGGTTTGTGATTAAGACAGATCCATTTAATATTTTAATCAAATCACTAACCCCTGTAACTTTCAGATGTCCGGTTAAGACGAGGGTCCTCGAGCCCACTAACGGCCAGTTTTAGTAACAAAGCAATACCTCTAGTTTAAGGAATATAGTTAAGATTGACATCTTATTAAAAAAAAAATCAAATAATGATTTTCACATTCATCATAATAATTACAAATGACACAGTTCGGTTAGCTAAACTTATCAGTGCCTGACTTTACTGACAGTTTAATCAATCTTCATTTTAAGATATTAATGTTATATTGGCAGAAAAGCGTGAGCAGCACTCACTCTGTTCCCGCACCTCCCCAAGCCATAGCCAGACAGGCTAGGACGTCCTCATAGGTCATCACTACACATACAGGACATTATAGCATGTCCTGTATGTGTAGTGATGTGATGTCCTCATCCTCCTTCCCAAGGAGGACCTCACTACAAAAACAGCTAAGCTGTTTATATATATTTTGTTTCATTTTATTTTAACATAATCGCCTTTCTTTATATACCAGTTCATTAGCCAAAGTTGAGGAGGGTTTTAATATTCATTATCACATTATCAGGAGAAGTGGAGGAGGTGGGGTTAGTACAAGATACAAGGGAGGGAGGGGGGGGGGACACACACCTCGAAGATTCTCGAAGAATCATCTTCCAAAAGATACAAGGTATCATTTAGGAGATGAAATTCTTCAAGAATCAGAGAGAGAGAAAGACCTGGGGGTTGATATCACGCCAGACCTCTCCCCCCACAGCCACATCAAGAGGATAACATCAGCGGCATATGTAAGGCTCGCCAACATAAGAACAGCCTTTAGAAACTTGTGTAAGGAATAATTAAAAACCTTGTATACCACGTATGTCAGACCAATCCTGGAGTATGCAGCTCCAGCATGGAGTCCATATCTCGTCAAGCATAAAACTAAATTGGAAAAGGCTCAGAGGTTTGCCCCCAGATTAGTGCCCGAACTGAAGGGCATAAGCTATGAGGGGAGACTATGAGAATTAAACTTCACGTCGCTGGAAGACAGGAGAGTTAAGGGGGGATATGATCACCACATACAAAATTCTCAAAGTAATTGATAGGGTAGACAAAGACAATTTATTTAACACAAGGTACACATGCACTAGGAGACACCGGTGGAAATTGAGTGCCCAAGTGAGTCAAAGACATTATAAAGAATTTGCTTAGTGTTCGAGTGGTTAATAAATGGAATGCACTAGGAAGTGATGTGGTGGAAGTTGACTCCATACACAGTTTAGTCTCATTTTAGGCCACTTTGGGCCAGTAACCGGGTTCTTGCTGTTATAACCTCTTCTTTCATATTCAACCCCGAGTAGGTGGTAAGTTTTCAAGAACGGGCTGTGGCAAGTAGTAGTGCAAAGAATAAAGGGGGGGGATATAAACAATACAATATTACACCTTCACCACTATATATATATATATATATATATATATATATATATATATATATATATATATATATATATATATATATATATATATATATATATATATATATATATATATAGTGTTATATATACTTTTTTATTAAAGTATTACTACACATATATACAAAGTGTCTCTTTCACTCAGGACACAACACATCGGCAGTGTTCATCAATCCCGGAGAATCCACTTTCCAGGTACACGTCGTCCACACCTAATGGCAAACACCGGCGAGTTCACCTTCAACATGGGCCAGTCCCACACACACAGTATCATCACGATGTGCCAATATCCCACCTCCGCTCTCCAGATACACACTGGCAGAGGGTTTCAGCCACACGCTGACAGGGGGTCTCAAACAATCACATACAGGGGTAGCTAACACCCTTGCAGAAGTCTCTAGCAGCTCGCTAACAGCACTTCTCAACAGACGCACCACTGTTGTTGCGTAACTCTTCCTATCCTACCCCGGGCACGTTGGCCCATCCAACACTGCTATAACCGACGGCGGCCACTTTGTCCTCTCACAGGACCAAGTCGAGAGTTCTTGGACTGCCCAAGGTGAACTGCCCTCGTTAAGGCAATTGCCTCCTTACGTCACCTCTGTGAACATAAAACGTCATTAACTAGACGGACAGTACACTGGGTGATCTTAGGATAACACCCATCCACTGGGAAATTGAAATTGTAACTTGTAGCCACAACCTAGATGGCGTTGATATCATTACGCCACCCACCAGAGGGCATCATCATCGACCTCACATTCTGACTGAGGCAGGAAACCGGAGCCTTTCACCGATCTCACGCCACCACCAACAGATGGCGTTGCCTGTGATGCACCAAATACCGGGGAGTTTAATTCAAGTTCAGAAAGTTGTGTAAAGAATCATTCAGAACTTTGTATACCACATATGTCAGGCCAATCCTGGAGTATGCAGCCCCAGCATGGAGTCCATATGTAGTCAAGGATAAGACTAAACTGGAAAAGGTTCAAAGGTTTGAAACCAGACTAGTACCCGAGCTGAGAGGTATGAGCTACGAGGAGAGACTACGGGAATTAAACCTCACTTCGCTGGAAGACAGAAGTTAGGGGGGACATGATCACCACATTCAAGATTCTCAAGGGAATTGATAGGGTAGATAAAGACAGGCTATTTAACACAAGGGGCACACGCACAAGGGGACACAGGTGGAAACTGAGTGCCCAAATGAGCCACAGAGATATTAGAAAGAACTTTTTTAGTGTCAGAGTGGTTGACAAATGGAATGCATTAGGAAGTGATGTGGTGGAGGCTGACTCCATACACAGTTTCAAGTGTAGATATGATAGAGCCCAATAGGCTCAGGAATCTGTACACCTGTTGATTGACAGTTGAGAGGCGGGACCAAAGATCCAGAGCTCAACCCCTGCAAGCACAATTAGGTGAGTACACACACACACACACACACACACACACACACACACACACACACACACACACACACACACACACACACACACACACACACACACACACACACACACACACGAAGCTCAACCCCCGCAAACACAACCAGGCGAATAGAGTAGAAGTGATAAAAAGAAGTGGGATACGAGGACAAGGACCTGGGTGCCTTTAATGGTCCATGCAGGAAGGTGTCAGCGAAGAGGTCGAAGTCGAGAAAAGGTCTCCTGGAATCAGTGAAGGTCCACGACCCTTACTGATTCACAAGAAGATAAATGTAAAGCACATAAAATGTGAAGCTGATGATAACAGATTAAACACTCCAACGCCAGGTGATATGTAAATACACATAATATTAACATAATATATATGACCGGCAGTGAAGCAGTGAGTTATGGGTAGTAAGCACTAAGCACGTGTGGCTATGAGCGCTTGCAAGCATTATGAGGACAAGGAGCTGGGGTATGAGGACAAGGAGCTGGGATATGAGAACAAGGAGCTGGGATATGAGGACAAGGAGCTGGGGTATGAGGACAAGGAGCTGGGATATGAGAACAAGGAGCTGGGATATGAGGACAAGGAGCTGGGATATGAGAACAAGGAGCTGGGGTATGAGGACAAGGAGCTGGGATATGAGGACAAGGAGCTGGGATATGAGGACAAGGAGCTGGGGTATGAGGACAAGGAGCTGGGATATGAAAACAAGGAGCAGGGGTATGAGAACAAGGAGCTGGGATATGAGGACAAGGAGCTGGGATACGAGGACAAGGAGCTGGGATGTGAGGACAAGGAGCTGGGATACGAGGACAAGGAGCTGGGATACGAGGACAAGGAGCTGGGATACGAGGACAAGGAGCTGGGATACGATGGCCAAGGAGCTGGGATACGATGGCCAAGGAACTGGGATATGAGGACAAGGAGCTGGGATATGAGGACAAGGAGCTGGGATATGAGGACAAGGAGCTGGGATATGAGGACAAGGAGCTGGGATATGAGGACAAAGAGCTGGGATATGAGGACAAGGAGCTGGGATATGAGGACAAGGAGCTGGGATATGAGGACAAGGAGCTGGGATATGAGGACAAGGAGCTGGGATATGAGGACAAAGAGCTGGGATATGAGGACAAGGAGCTGGGATATGAGGACAAGGAGCTGGGATATGAGGACAAGGAGCTGGGATATGAGGACAAGGAGCTGGG